GAGACCTCGACTGGGGTACCTGACGTAGTAGGGGGTGGACTCCTCGAAACGGACGTCACGGGAGTCAAAGAACCGGTGAGAGGGAGGGTGGTAAAAGGTGAAGTCAGAGGAGTCATCAGGGAAACCAAGGAAGACACAGGGAACGGCGCGAGGCGAGAGCTTGTCCGCGGAAGTGTCGCGGACAAGAGCCAAGCAACCCCAGACACAAAACCTCGACGCAACACCAAGGGACCCGGTCCAAAGACTGGTCGGTGAAGGCTCTGGCCGAGAGACGCGTGGCAGAGGTTCAGCTGGTGAGCAGCGTACCTAACCACGTAGGGCCACAGAAAATGGGGGGCACGGGCGTGAGTCAAGGAGGTGCGGGCGATCTCCATGACCAAGCCTATGCGGCGCTCAGCAACCCCATTCTGCTGTGGGGACTCTGGAAGCGTCCAGGACTGACGAATGCCCTGCTCGCGACAGAATCCAGCGAGAATGCCGGAGCGAAACTCACCCCCACGGTCAGAGTGAAGACAGCTGACACGACGACCACGAGTGCCCTCAGTGGTAAGCAACCAGCGTAGAAGTCACCTCAGACTTCTTCGCCAGGGGGAACACTGTGGTGTAGCGGAAGTAGTCGTCAACGACCACAAAAAAGAAACGCTCGCGCTCAGGGCCAAGGCGAGGGGCGGGGCCCCAGACGTCCAAGTGGAGCGTCTCAAAAGGCTCGGTGGCCGGACGAAGGGAGGAGGAGTGAGGGGTGGCGCGCAGCCGACCCTCGACGCAGGGACCGCACGGCGGTGCAAGCGAAGGCGGCAGCGACGGCAAGACACGCGTGAGGCCTAAGACAAGACGCTGACGAGACATAGCGCGCAGACGAGGGAGGGACGGGTGCCCCGTCCGGTGTTGCCACAGAACGGTGGGGCGTGCAAGCGACCGGCAGGAGCACGATGCAGCAACAGGACCAGACACGGGAACCTGACCAGACACAGCTACCTGGGGGGACGCAGCAGCCTGGTGAGACGCAGGGACCAGACTGGGGGAAGTAACCGGGGCCGGGGGCAGGAGTCGCCGCTGCTGCTGCTGCCGCTGCTGCTGCTGCCCACCAGGGCCAGTGTGAAGTGTGTAGAGACCAGAGCCCGGCTCGGCAGTAAAGGTGGCAAGAGGCGAGTAAGTGTCTCCATCAACACAAACCGGCGTCTCACCAGAGGGCTCAATCCACACACCCACGTGCTGACTCAGAAGAGGCCTCACACCCACCAAGTTCCTCGAGAACGTGGGGACGTGGAAGCCAGTCAGAGACCCAGAGGGAACAACAGGGCAAGGAAGAGTAGTAGTGTAGCGAGCAGTGACTGGTCTCGAGGTGGGATCAGCCAGGGCCACAGAGACTGGCGCAGGAAGTGGAGTAAGTGTCGTGTGGTCGCGGAAGAAGCAGTGCGAAGCCCCAGAGTCCAGTGTGAAGTGTGTAGAGACCAGAGCCCGGCTCGGCAGTAAAGGTGGCAAGAGGCGAGTAAGTGTCTCCATCAACACAAACCGGCGTCTCACCAGAGGGCTCAATCCACACACCCACGTGCTGACTCAGAAGAGGCCTCACACCCACCAAGTTCCTCGAGAACGTGGGGACGTGGAAGCCAGTCAGAGACCCAGAGGGAACAACAGGGCAAGGAAGAGTAGTAGTGTAGCGAGCAGTGACTGGTCTCGAGGTGGGATCAGCCAGGGCCACAGAGACTGGCGCAGGAAGTGGAGTAAGTGTCGTGTGGTCGCGGAAGAAGCAGTGCGAAGCCCCAGAGTCCAGAGTGAAAGACAGCGAAGCGTCCTCCGAAGTAGCGCCTGGACTAGTGTCTACACAAGTGCCTACACTAGCAACACGCAACTCAGCAAGACTAGCACCTAAGCTAACAACACACGAGTAAACATAGTCAGAAGCACTAGAATCAACAACAGCATACATAGCATGAGGAGTTCCTAAGAGATCAAGCAAATGAGAAGCAGACATGCCCCAAAGAGCGGAGCCGTACGTCTGAACAAGAGGAAACCAGTCAGGGGCAGGGCCGCCAACGCCGAAGGCCAAGCGAACCGTGTCACTGAGCTGAGCAAAGCACTGACCAGGAGGGTGGGTGCGACCACAAGGCTGGCCTCGGCGAGCACCTGTCAGAACCTGATAGGTGCACGAAGGGTGAACAACACCTCGCTGGGGCGGACGCTGTCCCAGCCCCGAAAACTGCTGCTGCCGCTGCTGCTGCGGGGGCTGCTGCAAGGGGAGGGGCTGCTGCTGCTGCACCTGCTGCTGCCGCTGGGCCAGGTACCACGCCGCTGCTCCACCCACCGCGGCCGGCAGGCCAGGAGGAGGCTGACGAGTCCGAGTGTCGCCTCCACCAGCTGCAGTAGGGGAGTCACTGGCCACTGCACGAGATGCCTCTCCAGGCCCTGCGCTCCCACCGTCACCGGTCGGCACGCCACCCCCACCACCTCCGCCGCCAACGCCGCCACCGCCGCAAACGCCTGCACCCTGACCGCCCCTCCTGCCACCCCTACCTCGAGACCGCGACGTAGTCGTAACAGCAGCTGCGGTCACGTCAGTAGTGGCAGTGGCTAGCGAGGCAGTAAAAGTGGGCAGCTGAGGGACAGTGCACCCGTGAAACAGTGGAGGGGGCACAGCACCAGAGGCGGAGGCTACGGAGCGGAGGTTGCTCTCGACGTCCTTGAGCGCAGACTCAAGGACCTCGATAGTGAGCTCACTAGGGTGCTTCAGAAGAAGTGTGTCACAAACCGAGGCAAGGCGGTCAGGGAGGCTAGTGGCAATGAAGTAGATAGTAATCGCCATAGGAGGGGGAAGCAGTGCAAGCTGTGCGTCAGTGCAAGCAGCGCGGTAGCTAGAATCGAGCGAGCGGAGGTGAGCAATCAAGTCAGCAGAGCGCTCAAACGAGGCGAGGTCAGGGAACAAGAACGGTAGGAAGAGGCGGCCAAGGGAGACAGTGGTGGGAGTAGCGTAGCGGGCCTTGATCGCAGTCAGGAACTCACTAGCAGTGCGAACCTGAGTGAAGTGGGCCTCCTCAGACTCAGGGAGGAGGCTGCTAAGAGCGATGCAGGCCACATCGTTACGCAACTTCCACGCCGTCAGGTCAGCACGCTGGTGGGTAAAGCGGTCTCTGGCGGCGTCGTCAGGGGCAGGGCCTAAAGGGGTAGGGTCGTTGGGTGCAGGAAGGTCACCAGTAGCGTGCGCCCAGAGGGACTCGCCCGCCTGGACCTGACTCTCTAGAAGGCGACGCGCGCGTAGTAGCCAGACCGGAAACTCGAGCGGTCTACCGTCAGCGTCAAAACGAAGAACCCTAGGGGTCGCCATAGCAAAAGCAAAGAGGTGGGAAGTGCTGCTGCTGAAACCCTAATCACTGAGAGCGACTCAGTAGGGCGCTACGGGACATAGGGTAGGGCGCTACGGGACACAGAGTAGGGCGCAACACTGCTGGACTAGGAGGGCGCAGCGCCACGGGCAGGGGTAGCGCGGCGCGACGCAGCGGGACAGGACGGGCAGCGCGACACGACGCGACACGACGCGACACGACGGGACGGGACAGACTGCGCGACGCGGACGGGCAGCGCGACGCGATGCGAAGGGACGGGATGGACGGGCAGCGCGACGCGGACGGACGGGACGGGACGGGACGGACGGGACAGGACGGGACGGACGGACGGACGGGACGGGACGGACGGACGGGACGGACGGACGGGATGGGACGGGACGGACGGACGGACGGGACGGGACGGGACGGGACGGGACTGAAGGCGCGACGCGGACGGGCAGCGTGACGCGGACGGACAGCGCAGCGGATGCGAGGGCACGAGAGCGACGTAACGGCAGGCGCAGCGGGCGCGAGGGCACGAGAGCGACGTAACGGCAGGCGGAACGGGCGCGAGGGCACGAGAGCGACGTAACGGCAGGCGCGATGGGCGCTAGGGGACAGTACGAGCGTAACGGGCACTATGGTACGGGACAGGCTCGGGCGCTACGGACGTGAACGAGAGGAACGGGATCCCACAGGATCCTAACCTAGGTGATACCATGTCAAGAATGAAAGTGTTGGTTCATTGATGTGGGTTGGGGTACATATAACAAACCCTAACATCTGTACCCCCTACGACAAACCTCACTACAGGCTACAACATTTGACAGTTGGGCACTCAAGGTTAGAAGGGATGCAGGAGTATCTCAGGGCTGAGGAAAACGGGAGAGACTTTTATTTAAAGAGTTGGATGCGATGTGGCTCGAACCTGCAGTGGATTTTTTTTCAGGTTTTAAGGCATACATCCAATGTAGCTGTTGACTCGTTTGTTCTGTATTCCATATGTATACGCCTTACAAGCATGTACACTTCGGATGCGTGGCAAGCTCCAGAGATGGCGCGTACGAAGCAGGGCCACATGGAAGTGGGGGAGTATGGCGTGTGATCCTCGTCAGCTGACATTCTGTAGGGTAGTGGTGGTGCTGATGGCCCAATTGTTTGTATGACGTGGCCAAGGCATCGTTTGACGTTGAGTCAAGTCCCGACCGCTTATTGGCGATTTCCAAAACTTGGAAGAACAGCCAATCAATGCGCATTATTGGTACTCCTGAATAACTTGAGCGAATGTGCTTAGCGGAATAATGCCACGTCATACCTTCAACCACCTCATTGGAAGCCTAGGCACACTTCAGGATGCCATGTGTGTCAGACCTCGATGAAAATTTCGCGCCAACACTGATGAAAGGCAGGGGTTGTCGGAGACTTGTCGACTGCTTCAGTTATCAAATGTTCATCTTTCTTCTGGCTTACCTCAATCAATCTCTCTTACTGATTTAGCAAAGCTCAGCTGTCAAGCATTTCCCTGCCGATACAGTATACTCGTCGACTGTCCTCCCAGCGTCCAGCCACAACCCTGTGTGGCTGGGCGAGACCATTATTCGGACTCAGTGTTTATGTTTGAGCTTCACCGTCCTTTGAACTGCTAGCATTACGTCGGAATTGATTATAAACCGTCGCATCATGTCATCGTCAGAAAGGACCTCATTCAAGAAGCAGCACCCCGTTGGTGAGTGCAACTTTGTTATTCAACCCCATCGAGTTGCGAATCTTGTTTTAACGACTTGAATTTCGCCCTTAACAGATAAGAGGAAGATGGAAGCTGAAAGGATTCGGCAGAAGTATCCTGATAGAATTCCTGTACGTATTTCATTTCTGGCATCAGCGCGCCAAAGTTTATGTGCCATGTGAGTAAAATTTTGCGTATGTATGCAGGTTATTGTTGAGAAGGCTCGCAGGAGCAAAGTACCCGACATGGACAAGAAAAAGTAGGCTTCCTCCCCCCCCCTCTCTCCCCCCCTCCTCTCTCTCCCCCCCTCCTCTCTCTCTCTCTCTCTCTCTCCCTCTCTCTCCCTCTCTCTCCCTCTCTCTCCCTCTCTCTCCCTCTCTCTCCCTCTCTCTCCCTCTCTCTCCCTCTCTCTCCCTCTCTCTCCCTCTCTCTCCCTCTCTCTCCCTCTCTCTCCCTCTCTCTCCCTCTCTCTCCCTCTCTCTCCCTCTCTCTCCCTCTCTCTCCCTCTCTCTCCCTCTCTCTCCCTCTCTCTCCCTCTCTCTCCCTCTCTCTCCCTCTCTCTCCCTCTCTCTCCCTCTCTCTCCCTCTCTCTCCCTCTCTCTCCCTCTCTCTCCCTCTCTCTCTCTCCCTCTCTCTCCCTCTCTCTCCCTCTCTCTCCCTCTCTCTCCCTCTCTCTCCCTCTCTCTCCCTCTCTCTCCCTCTCCCTCCCTCTCTCTCCCTCTCTCTCCCTCTCTCTCCCTCCCTCTCTCAGATTCACCTACACACAAGGACGCGCAGTAGCGTACACGTAGAGCACGCTTCCTCGCGTCTTCACAATCGCTCCTCCCTCCATGTCTCATTTCCGCAAGGCTGCCTCCTAGTATCCTACCCTGCCTCATCTTGTGCCTTCTTTGTTTACTCTACTTGGTTGATTGCTGTTACAGGTATTTGGTTCCCGCTGACATATCTATCAGCCAGTTTACAGCAGTCATTCGCAACAGAATCAAGCTTAGCCCCGAGCAAGCAATCTTTCTCTTTATTGGAAACACCATGCCGCCCTCATGTGAGTTTTTCTGTTTGCACATATGTTCTGTCTTAAAGTTAGGGGATATTGATGCAAAACGTGTTATTTTTTTGTGCAGCTGCACTTATGTCGGCCGCCTACGAGGAGCACAAAGACGATGATGGCTTTCTCTACGTGTCATATGCTGGTGAAAACACATTCGGATAAATTTCAGTGCATGTACAAATTCGTGTAAATAAGTAGGTTGCAGTTAGTTTGGAACGTGGAGGACTGCAGCTGTGCATAGGCCTAAGTTCTGAATGCTTCTCTGCGGAGAAGGCGCCTTTGTAAATTATGACTAATTTCCGTAATGCATTTAGACAACTATTGAGAGCCAGTTTATCACTCTAGTGAAATAATGAAATTGGATTTGCCGAATTGCATTTCCAACTGAAATTGGATTTTTGAGCCTGGGGAGCTCCTTCGGCCTGGAGATACGACTTCAGAACTCGAAATGCATTCATTCTGGAGCCCGTCTTTTACGACGTGTTGCTACCCAAAGAGGTTGGCTCAACCAGGTCGGATTTCTCATTTCTAGGAAGGCTGCGTTGCGGATCTAGGCCCTGTTCTGTTGGCGCATTAGGGGTGCTCAGCCCTAACGCTGAACATTCTCGGAATGCGCATAACAATGATTGAAGCCCACGTCGAGCCTCCCAAGTCGTTATTGTCTCCCGAACCTCTGGTGCGGGAGTTGTGCGCGCATTATTCATGCGTGCGCAAGAACGCATAACTCTCTGTGCGCTGAGAAAATTCCACGAGCTTGGTTTCACAGGCAATTTTCCCGCATGGCCTGTGCGAGCCCTATGCGCTCGTCGAGGGGGGATTGAAGAGGCGCACGACAAATAACGGGCAGATATATACGCCCGTTTTGGGGTATTGTTTTGGTGGAATACTCACCCCAAAAACAATCCAACGGCTAACCAGTAAGAATGCCACATCCAGTGCATCATTCCGTGAAATTTTGACTTTGGAAGAGTGCCAGGGCAGTGTGTAACAACATTTCTTTGGGCACACGGGAGAAAAAAGTTCATAATTTTGTCGATTAGTAAACCCTTCGACGAGGCTGCAGGCCCTATCTTCCTTTCCAGGAAAACGCTGTCCGCAGTACCTGTGCGGCAGCTGCGAATGGTCTGTGCGCCAGCAGAACAAGGCCCTAGCCAACCAGCTCGACCCAGCCGCGTCGGGCTGGGTCTGCCCGATCTGGGTCGACCTAGTCGGGCCAACCAGGTCGACCCGACCAGCTCAGCAAGATTGCGACGAGTTACCTAAGCTAACGAATTTTAAAATCTCGCGAAAAGTTAGTGTTATAATCGTTTACGAATTGGAAATCCAGCGAGGCTAGTTTTGGAGTAACCGTTAGTTCAGCGAGTTTCTGACTCTCGTCACAGCTCGCCTAGCCTGCAGGGAAGCTAGAAACAAATTGCGCTGTAAGTGCTTGGAGGGTGTGACAGAATTTCTCAGAAATTCTTCGAGGCCCCGAGCCGCGATGGTCAGGTCGACCAGGTCAGCCCAACCCAACCTGTTGGGTCGCAACACGTCGTTAGCCTTGGGAAAGGTTTTCCTCCGTCCAATACAAGCAGCACAGCAGCGCAAAGTCACGGCACGCGCTTGCTCCAAATCGTCCAGGCAGGGAAACACGCCCACCTGCATCGCACTGCAGAGCGTCACCTTCCAGACTCCCCCCCAGGCAGTCTTGGGACTGGTATTCCGTTGCCAGTTTCCACTTCTATGCTCCTAACATATTCTGGCAAGCAGTTCCGAGATCGTTCTTGTGGAAGTTTTGCTCGCATAAAGCCGTATACTCGTTTGTTCTTGCTCGATCCACGGAGCCTTTCGCCAAGTGTTACACCTGCTTGTATCCTCGGCTCCTCTCACAAGCAAACCAGTTGCAACCCCGTCAACCTCCTCGTTTAGATTCGTCTGCCATCATGGGAATCCATCGCATTGCTGAGGTACGGCGGGTTGACGGAGTTCAGTAGGCCTCGCAGGCAGCTCGAGGCAGGGGATTCGACGCCATCCAGTATCAGCATCGGCCTCGTGACGCTTAACGACTGCAGCTGACGGCTCTTCTGGAGCGATCAACTCCCTTAATAAGGAAGGCTTGTCTCCGTTTAGCTCACTCGTGTTCGATCCTGTTTTCTTGATACTTTCTGCTCCACCGTCCTCCAATCACAAGAAACTCTCACCCAGTCGTCATTTAACGCGACAGTCATTTCAGCTATCTGCAGTCGATCCGTCGCGTCGCTCCACCGTCCAGCGCAGCGATGTTGTCGGCGAGCTTCAACCGCCTGGTGGAGGCCGCCATCGTGCCGTTCGCCGAGGTGCTCACACTCGCCGCCTTCGGCTACCTTCTCGCTCTGCCCAGCGTCAGCGTGCTCACCGACAAAGCCAGGCGCCTGCTCGGCAAGCTCGTCTTCGCGCTCTTCCTTCCATGCCTCATCTTCGCTTATCTGGGAGATACGTTGACGCTGGAGCGGATGTTAGATTGGTGGTTCATCCCCGTTAACGTCATCATCGCTGCCGTTTCTGGCTGCTTCATGGGCCTGCTGGTCGTCGCGTTTGCCCGGCCGCCGCCCCGCTTTTACCGCCTGACGATTGTCATGACAGGGATTGGCAACATCGGCAACATTCCCCTCGCTATTGTCAACTCGATTTGCAGGCGGAAGCTGGACAACCCGTTCGGATCTCCGGCGGAGTGCCATCACCACGGCGTGGCGTATATATCGTTCGCTCAGTGGGTGGGAGCGTTCATCATCTATACCTTCGTCTACCACATGCTGGAGCCACCGGAAGAGTTCTACGAGATCGTGGCTCCTGATACCGTCCCCGGATCTGCCGCCGCTCTCGCTGACGGCTCCCTTTCGCCCCCCCTTTCTCCAAGCGCCTCTCTGCCGATCCTCGATTCTGGGTCGCCAGCAGCCAGTCCTTCTCTCGAACCTCAACCCGGTGGGATTTTACCATCCGTAAAGAGCCTTCTTCCAGGCTCCTGGTTCCAGTCGCAGCACCGCAGCTCGTTTCTACGGAAGCAGGAGCACGAGCACTACCAGCGGCTGATCACGTCGCCCACTCAGTCCAGCCGTCAGCTGCTCGAGACGGAGTTCCCTAGCCTGCTGGAGGTGACTGCTCGTGCGCCACAGATGAAAGAGCCACTGCTGGCGCGTCTCTTCAGAAGCCTCTCCATATCAAAAGCTGAGAGATCTGTGGGTGGTGTCGTTAGGGACCAGGCTGTGGCTAAAGCTGCTGTCGATGCTCATGCTGCTGCTTCTTCTGCTCCTATGAACGGCCGTGTAAACGGTTGTGAGGACCGGCAGGGAGGGGTGAATGGGGAGAGGTTTGATGGGCAGCAGCGGGGGAGGGAGAGTGCGGTTCTGGATGCAATGGAGAGGAACGCAGCAGGCGAGGAAGGAGATATGGGTGGTAGCAGCGCAAGAGTGTCATGGGATGCGGGGTCGGCCAACCCACACGCCGTGGGGTGCTCTTGTGTGTGTGGCAACTGCAAGGAGAAGTGCTGTGTGGGTGGGGCTGATAGCAGCTCAGCCAGACGAAGCAGCAGGGGCATGGATGCGGCGGGTGGTATAGATGCTGATGCCTGCACGTGCGGTATAACTGTAGAGCCGTGTACAAGCGTAGGGTCAGGCTCAGGCAGAGGGTCAGACGCAGGCAGAAGCAGGGCCAGCACAGGGAGCAGCAGGAGGAGCTCAGTGATGCAGAGCAGCTGTGGGGAGGAGGATGATAGCACAGTGGAGCACAAGGAGCAGAATGGTGTTGCTATTGCTGCTGAGAATAATCCTGCTGCTCCGGGCGGTCTTGACCATGAGGAGGAGGTGGGGGAGGACGAGGAGGAGTATGAGGACGACCGTGACTTGGAGTGTGTGCCGTGCCTGCAGGAGCCCCAGGTGGTGCGTAAGATGCGCGTCGTGGCAGAGCGCACACCCATCCGCCACCTCATGCAGCCGCCCGTCATCGCCTCTCTCCTCGCCATCCTTGTCGGCGCCACCCCCCACCTTAAAGCCCTGCTCTTCGGCCCCTCCGCTCCTTTTCTCTTTGTCGTCGACAGTCTGACCATCCTCTCCGGTGCCATGATTCCCTGTATCATGCTGGTGCTTGGGGGGAACATGATTAGCGGGCCAGGGGGAGGGTCGGGGCTGGGAGTGCGGACAACTGCTGCTATCAGTGTGGTGCGACTGCTGGTGTCTCCGGTTGTGGGAATGGTGGTGGTGCTGCTGGCTGAGTGGATGAATTTCCTGCCTCCGAATGACAAGATGTTTCGGTTTGTACTGCTGCTGCAGCACAGCATGCCCAGTTCCATTCTGGCTGGTGCTATGGCGAGCTTGAGAGGGTACGGGGAGAAAGAGGTATCGAGTTTGCTGTTCTGGCAGCATATACTGTCGGCGTTTTCGCTCACGCTCTTCCTTGCACTCTACCTTCACTGGCTCATTTGATAGGATTGATGGGCTGCTGGTAAGGACGTGGAGGGTGGAAGGAGGGTGAGAAGGGAGAAGAATCATGGGATTTTTTTCAATAAAGTGGTGCTACAAGGATAGTTCTGTTTCTGATACTGTTGTCAACAAGCCTTGTGTATCCATGTAAACACTTTTTGAAAAGCAATGTACTGTACAATACACAGCAGATGTGCCCTTCTATTCTGTGCTTGTCTTGTGGTTGCAGATACAGAGAAGGCCTTCGGAATAAGGAAAAGCTTACTGCTGACCACCACCCGTTACACCATACCTTGGGCTAGGGAGGGACCCACACCTTACCTTCCTCCACTTCTGCTTCCCATTCCCCACATTCCTACCCGCCCCACATTCCTACCCGCCCCACCTCCCCCACGCCCAGGGCCCATATTCCTCATTGCCTCTCTCCCCCCTCCCATTTCCCTCCCTGCTGCTGCAACTACGCTGTGTCCTCCCATGTTACCCCGTCCGCCATCCATATACCCAGCTGGACTCACGTGAGCCAAGTCACCTCCGCCTGCTGCCCAAATACCACCTCCCCCAAGTCCCGCCTGTACATATCCAGCCTCCTCAAATCCTGCCCGGATTAACTCCTCCTGCCCGTTCCATGATGCGCCCAACCCCATCTGCCCCTGCCCCTGCCCCTGCCCCTGCCCCGAGTGCCCTCGTCCCCCTCTCATCTCCCCCATCCGCCAATCTCCTGTTTCCCCCTGCACCCGTGGCCTCCCCCATCCCGCTTCCCCGAGCCTCACCTGCCCGCCTAATCCCCCCATATCCCCACCGATCCCCACCTGCCTGAGTTCCCCCGCGTTTTCCATCATCTCCCCTTCCACCTGTCCCAGTGACCTTTGCTGGCGGACGAACCAGAGGCCCGAGGGGGGAGCGGGCGCGCGCGGGCGCGCGGAAATGGGGAGGTCGGGGGGATCCGGGGGAGCTAGGCCGAGCAGCTGGAGGATGGAGCGGAAGAGGTTTTGAATGAAGACGGCAATGATTAGGGCGACGAGCGGAAGCGCGTTGAGAAGGATCAGAAAGCGGATAAGGCGGTCCATGGGGAGTGATAAGCGAGCGTGTGTGGGTTTGGCAGCGATGGTATGAGGCGAATCGTTGATGGGGGAATCAAAGTCGTCGCGCCTACTGCTGCTCGTGCATCTTTTTATGAATGGTAGTCAATGGGAGGGAGTGCGAAGGAGTGCGAGGGACGCCGAGGGAGGCCGGGAGTGCTGTTGGCTGCTTAGTAAGCGTGGTTGCCTTGTTCAATCGTGCGGTCGAATGCGATGGTGGTCGCAACAGAGCAATGCGAGTACCACGGAACGCGGAATGCGCATGGTCGAGGGGAGTGCGCGCTCTCCGTCCGCGTGTTGCGGGAGATGCTTGAGATGTCACATGCTGCTTTCCCTGGTGTTGTTCCCGCTCTGGACTGCGAAACAAGGCGAAGGCAGCAAAGCGGGGAGGAAGGACGTGGCGATGATGGACGAGTGGGGAAGAGGCTGAGTGACAGTCAACCCTGGCGGCACAGTGCAAAGCGAATCAATTTGAGAGACATGCCCCTATGATTCCCCCTATAAATCCGTGGGCTCGTATTGTCATGTCACAAAAATCCGGCCATTAGCAAATTTCGCATGTGTGCGGCGATCTTACACGCCCTTAGGTTTGGGCTCTACAAAATGTGTCTGATTTCGTAATCTACCTATCACTGGCCAAAGCGGCCTGGTGGGACTCCAGCGATTTTCGCATCACAACTCAAACAGTCCTTGGAAATAAATAGCAGATGAGATGCTTTATGGCGTGAAGAACGCCTGAATAAACACTTGAATAGGGCACACAAATCATGATTCACGGCATACAACTGCTGCAAAGCATCTTTGCTGTGCAACCAACGCTCCCCATCCCAAACCAATACATCCACCAAGTGCACTACCAGTGCACAGACACCAACTCCTTGGCAACACTCAACCCATATCATGGAGATATAACCTTGTAACCATTGAAGCATATCTCTACAATCTCCGTGTTCAGCATCCCTGTGGTCCCAACTTCCAAATCAAGTGGCCATTACACAGGAGGAGGAGGGGGAGGGGGGGGGGGGGAGGGTCAAGTGAAGGTGGAGAAGGGGGAGGGGTTGGGGGTGGGGAGGATGGTGGTGCAGGGGGAGGGTTTGGTGGAGAAGATGGTGGGGGTAAAGGTGGAGAGGGTGGGGGGGGTAGAGGCGGAGAGGGTGGGGGGGGTAGAGGCGGAGGACTGGGGGGAGGAGAGGATGGAGGGGCCAAGGGTGGAGGTGGATTGGGGTTCCATGGCTGTGTTACTCTGCACAGGGGCAATGGGGGAGACAAAGATTGCACTAGTGAGTCGAGACCGTCAAAGCGCCTTTCAATGGAGCGGGAAGAGAAGGGTGCAAGGCTTCAAACGCCCTGGGAAGGGTAGCAGGACTGCGGCGCAAGCAGATGGGCTGATGCAAACATGGTATGGCCACATACGGTACCGGCCCTATTGTTGGGAAGAAGTGTTTGTGACTGTACCAACACAGTGAAACAAACAGATGATTTGGAAGCGAGGGACATACCCGCACTTGGCGATTTGAGCCAGGAACGCGTCTGCTTTAGCCGCTGATATCCCGCCTTCCACAAAGGTCTTGTTGTCGGGCCGGAGAGGGGACAGCACACGCGTGGCAGTCCCGTACGCACTGCGGTAGTTTGGTAAGAGAACACGACCTCTGGAGGAGGCAATGGCGATGTCTTTCAGGCTGAGCTGCTGGCACGGCACGCTGTCGCTGCAGTTGAAATTGATCCCCGTGGTTCCGTTTGTGAACCCCGTGACGTTGGTGTACGAGATGTTGAAGATGCCGAGCGCTGCTGGCTTTATCGTGCACCCGCCTGGCCCGACGTTATTCTTGTCGCAGTAATACTGCGTGACTATAACGGAATTGGAGCAGTCCACAATCGTGACGTTCTCATAACGAATGTTCCACACGGCGCCCTGCCCGCCCTGATACGTCTTAATGCGCAGCCCATTGGAGAGAGACATGAGTATGCTGTTCTGAACGGTGATGTTTGAGACACAGTTGAGCGCACCGCCGATGCCGAGGCTGCCGATGCTGATACCATGGCCGGCCGTGCAGAGCACATCGCGGATGAGCACGTGGTGCACTCCGTCCTTTATGGATATGTTGTCGTCACCGCCATGGATGGAGCAGTGTTCGATGAGAGCATAGCGCACGCGGCCAATGCTGATGGAGTCAGTGTTGGGGCTGTTGTAGGGGCTATCCGTGGTCACGTGGTGGATCCACAGCCCCACCAGGTCCTTGATGTTCACATGAAACATTGGGGGGTTCCTGCCGTGGGGAGGAGAGATGAGGCGAGACGAGCGAGGAGAGAAGAGTGTGAGGACAGGATAGCAGGGATGGGTATGCATGGTGGCAGCAGGACACTCAGCGCACAAGCCCCCAGAAATGTTCACATTGGTGAGCACCGGCATAAATAACGGGGGGGAAAAAAAAGGAGCAGTGCGTATCACTCACTTGATGGTGAGTCCGCTCATCTCCATGCCATTGCAGCGCTGGATGTACAGCAGGTCAGGCCGGTCAGTGCTCTTCCCGGAGCGGAACCGCGACCACCACGTGGCGGCCTGCCCATCAACCGTGCCCGAGCCCACGAGGCGCAGCCCGTCCAGTTTGTTCAGGTAGATGACCGCGTCCACGCTGTAGCTGATGGCCTCGGGGATGGGGTTCGCTGCTAGCGTGCCGTCGATCTGAGGGCGTGGGGAGAGGGGAGCGAGAGGGTGGGGGGAAGGAGGTGGAGGAAGGGGAGAGAGGGGTGAGGTGAAGCGAAGTGGCTTTGGTGAAGTGGGTGTTGGTGGGCAGAATGAGTGGCACAGGCATGAGCAGGCATGGCACACATACACGCACACACACCGACAGCGCTACCGTCAAACATCACCGTCCACATGTACCAATTTAGGCACAAGCACAAGCACTGACAGCCCACGCACCTGGATGGTGATAGCAGCGCCGCTGCCGCTGATCCCACACGGGCCCTCCATCCTGATAGCAGAGGACAGCAGGAACGTGTATCCTGCCGGCAGCAGCACTGTAGCGCGCGTGCTGCTCGCAGCAGCGTACGCGCACGCTGCCTTGAACGTTGCTACTATAGCGCCCGCGTCGTTGGTCCCCCCATTGCCCTTCGCCCCGTAGGCAAGCACGTTGAAGAGGCTTGGAGGGATCGGGGGGGGAGGAGGCGGTGATGGGGGCGAGGGTGGGGACGGCGGAGGGGGAGGCGAAGGAGGGGGGGAAGGCGGAGGCGGGGGAGACGGGGGTGGGGATGGCGGAGGTGGCGGGGAAGGAGGGGGGGATGGAGGAGGGGGGGAAGGGGGTGGAGACGGAGGGCTGGGCGGAGGCGAAGGATAACCTGACTTGGGGGGGCTTTTAGGCGGTTTCGGCGATTTGGGCGGCTTGGGGGACTTAGGCGGCTTTGTACTTTTAGGCGGAGGCGGGGACGGCGGCGGAGGCTGCGCGCAGCCGGGGATGGGCGTGTTGGTGCAGGTGGCGGGCGCGAAATGGCAGGCTGGCCAGGGCGCGCAGGCGGACGCAGCAGCGGACCGGTTTCCGCCCCACGCGCACACGTCCGCCGTGCAGCGGTTGCCGTCGTCGCAGCGATCTGGGGGAAAGGAGGGCGGAGAAAAGGCGGGGCGGGAGGGGAAGGGGGTGGCGAGGGGAGGGTCGGGAGGGGAGAGGGTACGAGGAGGTAGGAAAGGATGTGCGGAGAGGAGCAGGGGGGAAAGCCGCGACTTGGTGTCGAAACAGGGAGGCAGAGAGGAGCGGACGGAGACGAAGCGGGATTGCGAGGTGAGTCAGGGGGAAGGATCTAAAAGACGCGACTGAGTTCCCCCATATCCCCACCGATCCCCACCTGCCTGAGTTCCCCCGCGTTTTCCATCATCTCCCCTTCCACCTGTCCCAGTGACCTTTGCTGGCGGACGAACCAGAGGCCCGAGGGGGGAGCGGGCGCGCGCGGGCGCGCGGAAATGGGGAGGTCGGGGGGATCCGGGGGAGCTAGGCCGAGCAGCTGGAGGATGGAGCGGAAGAGGTTTTGAATGAAGACGGCAATGATTAGGGCGACGAGCGGAAGCGCGTTGAGAAGGATCAGAAAGCGGATAAGGCGGTCCATGGGGAGTGATAAGCGAGCGTGTGTGGGTTTGGCAGCGATGGTATGAGGCGAATCGTTGATGGGGGAATCAAAGTCGTCGCGCCTACTGCTGCTCGTGCATCTTTTTATGAATGGTAGTCAATGGGAGGGAGTGCGAAGGAGTGCGAGGGACGCCGAGGGAGGCCGGGAGTGCTGTTGGCTGCTTAGTAAGCGTGGTTGCCTTGTTCAATCGTGCGGTCGAATGCGATGGTGGTCGCAACAGAGCAATGCGAGTACCACGGAACGCGGAATGCGCATGGTCGAGGGGAGTGCGCGCTCTCCGTCCGCGTGTTGCGGGAGATGCTTGAGATGTCACATGCTGCTTTCCCTGGTGTTGTTCCCGCTCTGGACTGCGAAACAAGGCGAAGGCAGCAAAGCGGGGAGGAAGGACGTGGCGATGATGGACGAGTGGGGAAGAGGCTGAGTGACAGTCAACCCTGGCGGCACAGTGCAAAGCGAATCAATTTGAGAGACATGCCCCTATGATTCCCCCTATAAATCCGTGGGCTCGTATTGTCATGTCACAAAAAACCGGCCATTAGCAAATTTCGCATGTGTGCGGCGATCTTACACGCCCTTAGGTTTGGGCTCTACAAAATGTGTCTGATTTCGTAATCTACCTATCACTGGCCAAAGCGGCCTGGTGGGACTCCAGCGATTTTCGCATCACAACTCAAACAGTCCTTGGAAATAAATAGCAGATGAGATGCTTTATGGCGTGAAGAACGCCTGAATAAACACTTGAATAGGGCACACAAATCATGATTCACGGCATACAACTGCTGCAAAGCATCTTTGCTGTGCAACCAACGCTCCCCATCCCAAACCAATACATCCACCAAGTGCACTACCAGTGCACAGACACCAACTCCTTGGCAACACTCAACCCATATCATGGAGATATAACCTTGTAACCATTGAAGCATATCTCTACAATCTCCGTGTTCAGCATCCCTGTGGTCCCAACTTCCAAATCAAGTGGCCATTACACAGGAGGAGGAGGGGGAGGGGGGGGGGGGGAGGGTCAAGTGAAGGTGGAGAAGGGGGAGGGGTTGGGGGTGGGGAGGATGGTGGTGCAGGGGGAGGGTTTGGTGGAGAAGATGGTGGGGGTAAAGGTGGAGAGGGTGGGGGGGGTAGAGGCGGAGAGGGTGGGGGGGGTAGAGGCGGAGGACTGGGGGGAGGAGAGGATGGAGGGGCCAAGGGTGGAGGTGGATTGGGGTTCCATGGCTGTGTTACTCTGCACAGGGGCAATGGGGGAGACAAAGATTGCACTAGTGAGTCGAGACCGTCAAAGCGCCTTTCAATGGAGCGGGAAGAGAAGGGTGCAAGGCTTCAAACGCCCTGGGAAGGGTAGCAGGACTGCGGCGCAAGCAGATGGGCTGATGCAAACATGGTATGGCCACATACGGTACCGGCCCTATTGTTGGGAAGAAGTGTTTGTGACTGTACCAACACAGTGAAACAAACAGATGATTTGGAAGCGAGGGACATACCCGCACTTGGCGATTTGAGCCAGGAACGCGTCTGCTTTAGCCGCTGATATCCCGCCTTCCACAAAGGTCTTGTTGTCGGGCCGGAGAGGGGACAGCACACGCGTGGCAGTCCCGTACGCACTGCGGTAGTTTGGTAAGAGAACACGACCTCTGGAGGAGGCAATGGCGATGTCTTTCAGGCTGAGCTGCTGGCACGGCACGCTGTCGCTGCAGTTGAAATTGATCCCCGTGGTTCCGTTTGTGAACCCCGTGACGTTGGTGTACGAGATGTTGAAGATGCCGAGCGCTGCTGGCTTTATCGTGCACCCGCCTGGCCCGACGTTATTCTTGTCGCAGTAATACTGCGTGACTATAACGGAATTGGAGCAGTCCACAATCGTGACGTTCTCATAACGAATGTTCCACACGGCGCCCTGCCCGCCCTGATACGTCTTAATGCGCAGCCCATTGGAGAGAGACATGAGTATGCTGTTCTGAACGGTGATGTTTGAGACACAGTTGAGCGCACCGCCGATGCCGAGGCTGCCGATGCTGATACCATGGCCGGCCGTGCAGAGCACATCGCGGATGAGCACGTGGTGCACTCCGTCCTTTATGGATATGTTGTCGTCACCGCCATGGATGGAGCAGTGTTCGATGAGAGCATAGCGCACGCGGCCAATGCTGATGGAGTCAGTGTTGGGGCTGTTGTAGGGGCTATCCGTGGTCACGTGGTGGATCCACAGCCCCACCAGGTCCTTGATGTTCACATGAAACATTGGGGGGTTCCTGCCGTGGGGAGGAGAGATGAGGCGAGACGAGCGAGGAGAGAAGAGTGTGAGGACAGGATAGCAGGGATGGGTATGCATGGTGGCAGCAGGACACTCAGCGCACAAGCCCCCAGAAATGTTCACATTGGTGAGCACCGGCATAAATAACGGGGGGGAAAAAAAAGGAGCAGTGCGTATCACTCACTTGATGGTGAGTCCGCTCATCTCCATGCCATTGCAGCGCTGGATGTACAGCAGGTCAGGCCGGTCAGTGCTCTTCCCGGAGCGGAACCGCGACCACCACGTGGCGGCCTGCCCATCAACCGTGCCCGAGCCCACGAGGCGCAGCCCGTCCAGTTTGTTCAGGTAGATGACCGCGTCCACGCTGTAGCTGATGGCCTCGGGGATGGGGTTCGCTGCTAGCGTGCCGTCGATCTGAGGGCGTGGGGAGAGGGGAGCGAGAGGGTGGGGGGAAGGAGGTGGAGGAAGGGGAGAGAGGGGTGAGGTGAAGCGAAGTGGCTTTGGTGAAGTGGGTGTTGGTGGGCAGAATGAGTGGCACAGGCATGAGCAGGCATGGCACACATACACGCACACACACCGACAGCGCTACCGTCAAACATCACCGTCCACATGTACCAATTTAGGCACAAGCACAAGCACTGACAGCCCACGCACCTGGATGGTGATAGCAGCGCCGCTGCCGCTGATCCCACACGGGCCCTCCATCCTGATAGCAGAGGACAGCAGGAACGTGTATCCTGCCGGCAGCAGCACTGTAGCGCGCGTGCTGCTCGCAGCAGCGTACGCGCACGCTGCCTTGAACGTTGCTACTATAGCGCCCGCGTCGTTGGTCCCCCCATTGCCCTTCGCCCCGTAGGCAAGCACGTTGAAGAGGCTTGGAGGGATCGGGGGGGGAGGAGGCGGTGATGGGGGCGAGGGTGGGGACGGCGGAGGGGGAGGCGAAGGAGGGGGGGAAGGCGGAGGCGGGGGAGACGGGGGTGGGGATGGCGGAGGTGGCGGGGAAGGAGGGGGGGATGGAGGAGGGGGGGGAAGGGGGTGGAGACGGAGGGCTGGGCGGAGGCGAAGGATAACCTGACTTGGGGGGGCTTTTAGGCGGTTTCGGCGATTTGGGCGGCTTGGGGGACTTAGGCGGCTTTGTACTTTTAGGCGGAGGCGGGGACGGCGGCGGAGGCTGCGCGCAGCCGGGGATGGGCGTGTTGGTGCAGGTGGCGGGCGCGAAATGGCAGGCTGGCCAGGGCGCGCAGGCGGACGCAGCAGCGGACCGGTTTCCGCCCCACGCGCACACGTCCGCCGTGCAGCGGTTGCCGTCGTCGCAGCGATCTGGGGGAAAGGAGGGCGGAGAAAAGGCGGGGCGGGAGGGGAAGGGGGTGGCGAGGGGAGGGTCGGGAGGGGAGAGGGTACGAGGAGGTAGGAAAGGATGTGCGGAGAGGAGCAGGGGGGAAAGCCGCGACTTGGTGTCGAAACAGGGAGGCAGAGAGGAGCGGACGGAGACGAAGCGGGATTGCGAGGTGAGTCAGGGGGAAGGATCTAAAAGACGCGACTGAGTTCCCCCATATCCCCACCGATCCCCACCTGCCTGAGTTCCCCCGCGTTTTCCATCATCTCCCCTTCCACCTGTCCCAGTGACCTTTGCTGGCGGACGAACCAGAGGCCCGAGGGGGGAGCGGGCGCGCGCGGGCGCGCGGAAATGGGGAGGTCGGGGGGATCCGGGGGAGCTAGGCCGAGCAGCTGGAGGATGGAGCGGAAGAGGTTTTGAATGAAGACGGCAATGATTAGGGCGACGAGCGGAAGCGCGTTGAGAAGGATCAGAAAGCGGATAAGGCGGTCCATGGGGAGTGATAAGCGAGCGTGTGTGGGTTTGGCAGCGATGGTATGAGGCGAATCGTTGATGGGGGAATCAAAGTCGTCGCGCCTACTGCTGCTCGTGCATCTTTTTATGAATGGTAGTCAATGGGAGGGAGTGCGAAGGAGTGCGAGGGACGCCGAGGGAGGCCGGGAGTGCTGTTGGCTGCTTAGTAAGCGTGGTTGCCTTGTTCAATCGTGCGGTCGAATGCGATGGTGGTCGCAACAGAGCAATGCGAGTACCACGGAACGCGGAATGCGCATGGTCGAGGGGAGTGCGCGCTCTCCGTCCGCGTGTTGCGGGAGATGCTTGAGATGTCACATGCTGCTTTCCCTGGTGTTGTTCCCGCTCTGGACTGCGAAACAAGGCGAAGGCAGCAAAGCGGGGAGGAAGGACGTGGCGATGATGGACGAGTGGGGAAGAGGCTGAGTGACAGTCAACCCTGGCGGCACAGTGCAAAGCGAATCAATTTGAGAGACATGCCCCTATGATTCCCCCTATAAATCCGTGGGCTCGTATTGTCATGTCACAAAAATCCGGCCATTAGCAAATTTCGCATGTGTGCGGCGATCTTACACGCCCTTAGGTTTGGGCTCTACAAAATGTGTCTGATTTCGTAATCTACCTATCACTGGCCAAAGCGGCCTGGTGGGACTCCAGCGATTTTCGCATCACAACTCAAACAGTCCTTGGAAATAAATAGCAGATGAGATGCTTTATGGCGTGAAGAACGCCTGAATAAACACTTGAATAGGGCACACAAATCATGATTCACGGCATACAACTGCTGCAAAGCATCTTTGCTGTGCAACCAACGCTCCCCATCCCAAACCAATACATCCACCAAGTGCACTACCAGTGCACAGACACCAACTC